GGCGGTCACCATGATTTTTGAGTCAATGAGCGACCTGAGGTGCAAGTGGCCGCTGAGATCTCGCGTGATAGCTACGAGACTTGTGTTCCGCTCTACCCCCGTAATCGCGTCCTCTATTTCTTGACAAAATAGATCAACGGAACAGCAGATGCGTCGATGGACAAATGTCTCTCTCTCTCTTACTCTCAAAATTTGGCTGGCCATCTGAAGGCTCATTTTCCCGCAAACACATCCAAGAAAGTTGCATTTCTCATCATAGTTTGAATGATAGATGCTTATTGAGTCATGTTGTCATGGTAATAATAGAATATTATTTTTATTATACAATAATGCCTAGACAGTAGACAATACATGTCTTTGTTTAAAAATAAATTTCCTGGATAATTGTTTGTGTCTTTGTCTTTAAAACAATATTAATAATCTGCCCTTCAATTTGAAATAAAACAATGTATTAAAATATGTTCCTATTCTCGGGTGGACATCCGGGCATTTTCACCGCTTGGCAATCCTCGCGGTGAAAACAAAGGCCAACAACTCGCAGATAACGGTACTTTGAGATGGTTGTTGAGACTCCCCTCAACAGTGTAACAAGATTAGCCCTACGTCTGTAACATATATAAATTTGGTTGTTCGGGATTACTTCAAAGTTGAGTTTGTGTTGTTTTCTCGAATTTTCACCGGCTCGACCGGCGTTCCACAGCAGCGTGCACAGAGCCCATAGAAATGCATGTACAGTGGTGCGCGTCTTAGCAACGTGGAACGTCTTGTGACGTAGCTCCGCCCCAAGGATATTTATAGATGGAGTTCACCTCCACGGACAACCTATTAATAAATAATCGCTGCTCGGACTATGATAAATATTAGATAATATTTGGTAATCTATCTTTAAGAGTTATTTAGGACTACGATTACCAAATAATATCTACTATACCCCTATCTATTATCGGTTTCGCCATCCCTTTTACAAATAGCACAAGCGGATATGACGAATATTTCAACTATTCTGGTCTTCTACCTTTTTGGGAGCTCTGAACAACCTGATAGTGTACTCCCGGCGAAACAAAGCATTGCCTGCGTTTTTATGAATATTTATAAATTTCAATGACAGGTGAATCTGACCATCCAATCAACGAGCGCACATTGCAACGACGTCATTTAAAGACGACTCTATTTTTACAATCGGCCAATTAGTGATTTTCCGTTCAACTGCGAGATCTCGCGAGATGCATGAAAGACGCGCGTCGAACGTCTGCCGCAAAAATCGAACGATTTGATTTTGAACTCGAATTTCTTTATTTCGTAGCTCACATCGACCGGCCGATCTTCGACAGAGGAATATTGCTTTCGAATACCCTCACTTAATTGAAATTGTCTATCATCAAATGTGTACAGCACATTATTAAGCATGGAAATGCCCTCAAAATATGTTCGCGTTTGTTGAATCCCACGCGATGTTTGACGCCACTACGACGCTATGACCTTTGTTTGTCCTGTTTTTACCTTCGATTTCACGCACAACGCGTGATTCTCGCAGTAAACGGAAAATGGTCTATAAAAACCTACAGTTTCTAAATGTTATTAACATATTTTAGAAACTCAAAATGTGAATAACCCCAAACATACACTATAGAAAACATATTTTCTATA